TAGCGATTAGATGAGTTCGGTGAGTTTTTCCGGAAACTCAATTAAATGACAGCGTATGAGATACAGAGATATAAAAGATATTGTAGATATAGGAGTTGATTTTTTCGAGCAAGGGTTGATAGGTTGCATGCATATATCTAAATGGATCACTATTAAAAGTCAAGCAGTATTTAAAGATTATCTGCACTAGTTAATCAATATCTCCAATATCTCTATATCTCCAATATCTACTATATATCGTCTGTCGATGTTTAATTGGGTTTCCAGAGAAACTCTCAGAATGCATCATATTTAATTAGCCGTAAAGTAGGTCTAGCAAAAACTAGATTCAATTTCAGGAATCGTCGCAACATATTTCGAATCTGAAATTTGTGTGGCAAATGTAACTTAAAACACTCTAGCTATGAAAACATTTATTTTTAATCGACATCATTGTTTTGGTGCCATTGGGAGCAGTAATCTGATATTACCCGAGCAAATACGATTGAAAGCAAGCTTAATTTCATCATATTTATATTCAGAGCAAAATTGTTCATTGTTTAGTGTTTTTATCATAGAAAAATGATATCAGATAAAAGTTGGCCTGCCAAATCATTAAAGTAGTCTTTCAAAATTTTGACTTTTGGCAAAGAAATTCTGAAAAATGAAAATAAAGTATTTCGATTGAAAATGCTCTCCAAAAATAAATGCTATAATCCTTAGAATAGTCTGAAAGTTTCAGGTAGAGAGGATGTTTGTGCTTTGAGAAATTGAATTTTCAAAAAATAGCCAGTTCTCAAAAAAGTATAAAAAATTCAGTTTACTTCACAGTCAAATATCTCGACAGAAATAGTCATGCTGGCTTAAACGTTCAGAAAATTTTAATAATTATAATACCTATCTTTGGGCAAGATTTTCAATTGAAATGTTTTATTTCGATTTTTCAGAATTTGTTTATCAAGGATTTAAATAAAAAAGTCCTTTGAAGCTTTGTTTATTCAGCTCCATTTTTGTATCTTTTTTCTGTACAAATCACACCAATTAATGTCGAATTTGAAGCTGATTTTGAATGTGATCGACTAAAGTTTGAATATATTTCTTTTCTTTCCGAAAAGATATGGTTATGACTTGAATTGAGTGAAAAAAGCTTGCTAGCACAGTCTGTTTGAAGCTGAAATTTGAAACTCAAATGTCTTTTCTAGCTTCATTATACTTAGAGAAAGTTCAAAGCGAAAAATCTCTAAATATGACAGGTCTTTTCCAACGACAATCGACTGTCAACAAGCGCTCTGTCCTTTTTATTGCAACATTTCAAACGAAAATTTGTCTTCTGTCGCAGTTTTTTTTTGTTTGTTCCTTTTCTATTCGCTTCGTATTAGTTTTCTACGTTATATTTTTATTTCATTGTCATAATTTATTATTATTATTAGTCCAATCATTGACTTCATGGACAAATATATCTGTCTTACACATGCGTTATATCCACAACACATGTTAACGATCTATTATATATTTCGATGAACACAGAAAAACTGATATTGATAATCTCCGGAAGTTAGAACTTAATCAGTTCATTTTTTTGTTGTTGATCATATGACAATTGTGGCAAATCAAAATAGCATCTTTGATATCTTGAATAAAATTGTTTCTATGCGCAAGAATGGGAAACTGAGCTATTTCGAATACGAAAAAATGAATTCCAGCAATTTAATTTTCAAGGAAAATTATGGAGTGTTTCAGAAGCCTTTAATCCTTGTTATTAATAGCTAGGATTTAATTAAGATTTTTGCAGTGTCTTCTACAAGAATAATGGATTCTAGGTATTCCAAATCAAAATTTCAAGTCATTTTGTCCATGAAATGCACATCAATCGATGTAGGATTTCGTGCTGTATATATATGATGAAATTAAGCTTGATCTCAATTGTATTTGATCAGATAATATCAGATTATTGCTTTGATGGCGCCAAAATAAAGATGCCGACTAAAAATGGACTTTTCCATAACTAGAGTGCATTGAATTACATTAGCTACGCAAAATTCAGATTCTTAATATATTATGATAACTCCCGAGATTAAATTTAGTCCTTTTTCTAGACCTGTACGACTGATGATTTCTCCGTGTTCGCATAATGAAAAACATCGATGTCCTTTTTCTGCTCAAAAAGCATACTAAAATGATATCGCTTCTTAGATAGATCCGAAGTCAAAAAAACTTCGACACGTAAGAAAAAACGATATGCAGTGAGAGTTTGGAAATATTAAGATAAGAGGCCAAAAATAGCAGCAGTCGATGAAAAGTATTTCTCCTGGAAAATATCAAAAAATCAGACGAATGAGTGAGAGCCAACTATCAATTGGTCACTAATACTCTACAACTATCTCAGAAAGTCATTCTTAACAATTGTCTACTATAATTTTTCAAACAATAGCTAGCGATAAAAATAGAGATTTCTGTAAGAAATAAAAAGAAGTAGAATGAAATCTCAAACTCATTGAGGACGTTAGAAAAGCTAGTCAATTTCCCTTCTTTTGATATATCAGAAAATATAAATTTCAAACTACCTTCTTGCCATTCAGTAATGAACACTTGTTGAACAATATCGTTGACAGCTCCTTGTAACTGATCGATTCCCTGGATACGGTATTGAGTTTTGATAGGAAGCTTCAGTATGCTTAAGTCTTGTGAGATTGCCTTTAAGTAATCGATTAATTTTTGATGCTCTTGTAACAGCTTCGTATAATCTTTGGCCAAGAAAGTGCGCTCAAATTCTCTGTTCCGTGTATTTAGTTCTTCTTGTTTGTTTCTCAGTTGTTTTTGAAAGTCATTCATTAAATCTTCATTTTGTTTTTCAATCTTACGAACCTTTTGTTTCAGCTCATCCTTACAGCTCGACATGATCTCATGTATAGAGTCAAAAGCTTTTTCAATCTTCTCTATGGTAGGGTTTTCATTTGCAGTCATCGGCTCCAACGTTTGTTCCGTCAATGAATCCAAAGATAATTTCGTTTTCGTAAACCAATCTTCTAGCTAGAGGATACAGAAAATGTCTTTTCATAGGATTTCTGAAAATGAAATTCAATCCTGACCTCTTTTGCTGTCTTTTGTGCTACATCATTTATTTTAGTGCATTTATGACCTTCATGTTGAAATATTATACAATCGCTGCAAACAAGTGTCCTGCAAGGATTACACCAAAATTTAAGTTTCTCCTCTTGATGCTCATTGCATGACACTAACACTGGTGGCCTTTGCTCGATTGGTAATGATACGTGTGTTTTCAAAGTACGTAGTTTATGAGCCAATTCGTAACATGGTGAACAATAACTAGTTTCACATTGTGTACACCAGAGTTTAGCCTCTAACGAGTCACAATTGGAACACATTTCAGCTAGAATAAAAAAACTGATGATGTTATGTTAAACACCAATACTCTTATTGCGAAGGTAACAGAAATAAAGTTTGACAATTTATTCAAAATAATAATCTATGTAAGGGTGTAGATCTAGGTCTGGGCCCAGCGTGTGGAGGTCGGTGTGGGTGTACTACTCATCTTTCGCCCACTGTCATACCCATTCACACCCACACTGACACCCTTTCTGTCAACATTGTGAAAGATCAGAAGTTCGACCCGAGCAATTGTCAGTCTGCTCTCAAACTCCGGCGGTGTTTTGACCCGGGTCAAAATATTACCGGAAACCCGGCCCAGGACGACATTCATCGCACTGCTATTCATAAAAAATAGCTCAACTTCAATAAATAGTTAGCGAATTCCTTAGTCTAAGCAGAACGATGTAGTGCTGAGCAGTGTGATTTTAGATCCCATTACAGTTAGGGTGTGAATGTGGATGTGAATGAATACAAGATCTACACCCACATCGATCCCACACTGATCCTACACCCATGCCCCTTCTGCTCAGCGCAATGTCGTTCTACTCAGCACTACGAAGTGTATCAAATAGTTGTAGAAATATGACTCTTTTGAGGGGTTAATGAGGTGAATTTGGGGCCGGGCCAAAAACACACTAGACATTTGAATTGGGCCGATAGTCCGGGCCGAAATTTATGTAACCCAAAATTGCAGGTAGACTCTCGGAAATCAGTTGCCACTACTTGCGGAGTGTGTCTACACTCAAGGATTACCGGACTTCCTTAAATTTTAACAGGATCCATCGTTTGTAAGGAAACTATGAGAGAATAAATCAAAAGTCTCACCCAGTGCTTGCTTGATAAAAGGTGGCGCGATGAGCTGATATGGCGACTCTGTTTCTTCTAATTCAATCATATGTAAACCGTTGGCTTCAGTCCATTTTTTCAAAACACGCAGATAAGTGCCAGGCATCAGAATAATTTCAATTTCGTTCTTGAAGTAAGAATGGGATTGGATACAACGACCATTTATACATTTTATCTTAAAAAACGTACGTTCGCCTGTGTTTCCTACAAATTGTTCCGCCACCTTCTGGCTCTCTGTACATGAACTGAACCCCCACCATATTCTATCCTTTTGATATTGATTATCCACATCACCGCGAATAGCACGCCAAAGTGTTTTCTTGACGGGTGGCAGCTTGTATAAAGCCGTTAGGATTAGTTTGAGGTAGGAAAACCATGGTATCAAGTCATTCCGTTTCTCACAACGTNTAGAATGTTTATGTCTTGTTTTTCTAAAGATTTGTTAGTGCTAAAACATTTTCGTAAGCTTATGTATCTATTCTTGTCTTACTTATTTTTCAATAATCTAATTCTTCATAACACTTTTGGATACTCAGAAGAATAAATGAGTATCATCGTAGTATGAGCGATATTGCCGTTCTTATACAACCTAGAAGAAAAAAGATTTCGGTCATTGGTAACGATCGGTTAAAAATTGAGTTCATATTTTAGATTAATTATTATACTTAATTGAATTCTTATTTTGCCAGTGTTTGAACTTGTTAACTGATGAATCATATACCGTTTTTAAAAAAGAAAAAAGATGAAGGTTTGTCTAATGAAATTATTATTCAATTAAGAAATTGATGTGTTGTTCTTTTTCAGAGACAAGTCGAAGAATTCGAGTCAATGATCATCTTGCCAATGCTGCTCAAGAATTTGCCGTAAGTGTGTATCATTAGTAAGAGACAAATTAAATTCAATATTTTCTTATTTTCTTAGGATAATCGAATATCAACGTCAAAATATAATTTAATAACATTTTTACCTAAGAACCTCATTGAACAATTTCGTCGATTAGCTAATGCCTATTTTGTATTTCTTGTGTGTTTGCAAGTAAAAAAGAAAAACAAGCGTTTCTTTTCAAGTCATACATCATATTATTTTCTTCTAGTTTATTCCACAAATTACTTCATTAACACCTGGTACGAGTATTGCACCACTTGCTATTGTTTTATCAATAACTGCAATCAAAGATGCTATTGATGACATTGTTAGACGATCAGGATTTCTTTTGTATTTTCTTATTGATTAATCAATTTTGTATTCATTTAGAGAAGGCATCGAAGTGATAGTGAAATAAATAATCGTGAAACAAAAACAGTAGTTGGACATGAATTAGTAACTAGAAAATGGCAAGATATTAAAGTTGGTGATATCGTACGATTAGAAAATAATGAATTTATTACCGTAAGAAATTATGAAGATCACAGTAAAATAGAAAAAGAAAAAGAAAAATGTATTTATTTTAGGCTGATATTGTTCTTATATCGACTAGTGAACGGCATGGTTTGTGTTATATTGAAACAGCTGAATTAGATGGAGAAACAAATCTTAAAAAACGTGAAGCTTTACAAGAAACATGTGGTCTCGAAGATCATATCGATCAATTATCTAGTTTAGATGGTAGAAATATTAAGGTTAAAGTTTGTATAATTGAGTTTTTTTTCTTTATTTTTCAGTGGAAATTGAATGCGAAGCACCGAATAATAATCTTGGACGTTTTGAAGGAAATTTAACATCGAAAGGGAAAAAATTTCCATTAAGTAATGGTAATATTCTTTTACGTGGAGCAAGACTAAAAAATACACAATGGATTTTTGGCGGTATGAGATAATTCAAAAAAAGATAGTTTGATAGTTTTGATTTTTCTTCTATTGATATTTTAAGTTGTTTGTTATGCTGGTCCAGATACAAAATTAATGAAAAACAGTGGCAAAGTGAAATTTAAACGAACTAAACTTGATCGTTTGCTCAATCGAATCATTCTTAGTGTAAAAATATAGACTTTCTTCTGTTTTTTTTTCAAACTAAAGCATTCTTTGATTTAGATTTTTCTATTCTTACTAATCATGTGTACGATAATGACAATCTGTAGTGGTTTTTGGGAATCTTTTATTGGTTATCATTTTCGTATTTATATACCATGGGAAACATATATATCTACTAATCAGCAGATTGGTGCACTTGAAATAAGTTTATTAAATTTTTTATCATATGTTATTATATTACATACTGTTGTGCCCATATCACTTTATGTCAGTCTAGAAATTATACGTTTGATACAATCGAAATGGATTGATTGGGATAATAAAATGTATTATGAACCAAATAATGTACAAGCACAAGCTCGAACAACAACATTAAATGAAGAATTAGGAC